CCAAGGGGGGGAGTGCTCTCCCCTCCCTTTTGGGGGGGGGGGGGCGCGGTTAGTCAAGGTCTTGGAAGGTACCCTTATTTGTTACATTGTGAAGTGGGTTCCCTTTACACAAATTTGAATTATGCACCATTTTTCAGGAACGCATGTGCAGCATAAAGCAAGGGAAACCTGCACAAACTGGCAAGTGGAATCAAGAACAACAAGAAGTCCTTCTTCAGATATGTAGGGAGTCAGAAAAGGAATAAAGGAAGCATAGGACCCCGATGAATGATATGGGATGACTGATAACTGACACTCAGGACAAACTCCTGAACAAATACTTCACGTCGGAATTCCACTAGTCCAAGGGTGTTAGCCTACTTGACAGGATACAGGGTGACCATGATGGGGGTGACCACCATAGTTGGTGCAGGTCTTGTAGGGGAGCACCTACAAAGGCTAAGTATCTACAGGGCAGCAGGACCAGATGAACTACACCCAAGAGTGCTAAAAGAACTGGCCCATGTCATCGCACCACCTATGGCCAAGTTATATGAAGACTCATGGCGCCCAGGACAGGTCCCAGAAGACTGGAAAAAAGCCAATGTGGTGCCAACCTTTAAGAAAGGGAGAAGGGAGGACCTAGGAAGTTACAGGCCAATCAGTTTGACCTCAATCCCTGGTAAAATCCTGGAGAGAATTATCAAAGAATCCATTACAGAGAGGCTAACAGAAGGCGATATTCTGAAGGACAGCCAACGTGGCTTTGTTATGGGCAGATCATGCCAGACCAACCTCATTTCCTTCTACAATCAAGTAACTTGCCACCTGGATAGGAGAAATAAAGTTGATGTCCATATACTTGGACTTCAAAAAGGCCTTTGACTTGGTCTCTCGCGCTGTCCTCAAGGTAAAATTGGGAAAATGCGGCCTCAACTACTTTACGGTCCAGTGGCTAGGTAACTAGCTCCGTGATAGAACCCAGAGACAAAGTCATAATGGCAGAAGGTAACCAGTGGCGTCCCTCGGGGTTCAGTAGTCGGGTCGGTGCTTGTCAATACGTTCACCAACGATTTGGATTTGGGTATTAAAAGCGAACTGGCAAAGTTTTTTTTGATGACACCAAACTATGTGGGATCATGGTCACACTCGAAGACAGGCTGGCAATACAGGCCAAACCTGGACAGGCTTGTGAGGTGGGCAGACCTCAACCAGATGCTGTGCCACACGGAGAAATGTAAAGTGCTCCATCTGGGGAGAAATAATCCACTACGCACGTACAAGCTCAGCAGAGCTATGCTTGCCAGCACCACAACTGAATGAGACCTGGGTATCATGACAGACAACCAAATGAACATGAGCCACCAATGCAATGCCATAGCTGGCGGAGCTAATCAAACACTGGCAAGCATCTATGGAGGCATCTCGAGCAGGGCTAAGGATGTCATCCTCCTGCTCTTCTCCATCTTGATGAGACCACAGAGCTGGAGTACTGCATCCAGTTCTGGGCACCGCACTTCAGGAAGGATGTGGAGAAGCTCGAGAGAGTCCAAAGGAGGGCCACACACATGATTAGAGGCCTTGAGACCAGGTTATACAAGGAGGCTGAAAGACTTGGGACTGCTCAGCCTGGAGAAGAGAAGACTCAGAGGGGACTTGGCAGCAGCCTACAAGTATATCAGGGCATACACCAGGGCCTGGGGGAACATCTATTCACCAAGGCCTCCCAGGGGAGGACAAGCAATAACAGGCACAAACTGACTGAAGATAGCTTCAGGCTAGACATAAGGAAAAAACGTCTTTACAAGTCAAATGCCAAGGGCTTGGAACAAGCTCCCCACAAAGGTGGCACAGTCACCCACCCTGGCCATCTTCAAAAAGCATCTTGATGCCCATCTGGCTGGGGTTTCTGCCCAAGTGCAGGGGAGCTAGACCCAATGATCTGTAAGGTCACTTCCAGCCCCTAACAACTATGGAACTATAATGTCTTAAGGGAGGTCATATCGGTGTTCTGTCTCCATCTCATGATGATTGTTGATGCATCCATTCTGGTCTGGGGCACCTGTACCAAAGACAGACTTGCCTGGCTAGACAACTGACAACAAATGGAAGATTTTCCATGTGGGCTTGACAAAAGTCCTGGCACCAAGTCCCAGAGTAAAATGCTTCATAAACTCCCTAGCAGAGAGGCATATCCTTAGGATTAGATCTAGTAGCTTAGCCCAGTGGACCAGATGTGCAGTGCCCATGGTCCTGATCTAGTGCTCAGAAGGGAGCGGCTCAGCCCCAACCCTGATCTGGCTGTGCAGGGGAAAGGGGTGGGGGTGGCCTGGTCCCAAGGCAGCCATGGGGATGGGGAGAAGCTGTACAGGTCTTGGGAATCTGAGGGGGGAGGAAGGGAAGCAGTATTAATTGCCACTGCTCCCCTACCACCACATTTCCTACCAAGATTTCATGGGCCAGAGGTTGGAACCTCCTGTTTAGCCTGTCTTACCAGCATTTTTGTAGGCATTCAGCTCTCCATTTTAATTCAATGTGGCCAAAATTAAGCCAGAAATCTCTTCTCCCCAGCACTTTTCCCCAGTCCCCC